TGTTGGGCCGTGCATAGCACGGCCATGTCTATCTAGTTTAGACCTATTTGTCACAACTGTTTCTATTGTCCGAAAAAATCCTGACTACTACATAAGCACATAATGCACGTTGAACAATTTTATAGTTTATTTAGTCAATTATTTAAGAAGCTAAAAGTACGTTGTTATAAAATAAACCTTGCACTATAGAAGTACTATTTTTTTTGTTTTTAATAATTAGATATTTAGAAGTAATTTTAGATTGAGGTGAACACAATCTCTCATATATAAATAAGTTTTCATTTTAAGTGAATTCTTTATTTAACTTCGCCTATAAGAGAAGGCAGAAAGCTTTCTAGTCTCCCCTTAAAATTCATCAAATTTATAGAAAGTGAAGGTATATTAGTGGTGGGTACACACACACACACACACACACACATATATATATATATATATATATATTTTCTCTCTTTTGTGATGTAACATGGCGGTTGCTTACATGTTACATAATTGCATTGTGTAATAATATAATCTATTGAAAATTGCTATTTAACTAACTATTGATCCATAATTTAAATATTTTAATAGTTTATAACAAATGAATAATAAGCTTTAGCTAATTTTTGTATATCTCATTCATAGGTTCTTCATAAAAATTTACCATCTTCCAAAAATAGAAGAACTATTATAAAACTAGTGTAATCAAAAACATTTTTAAAAAAATAATTGTGGATATAATCTCTATCGCAACTAGTATAAGAATAGTCAACAAGAGAAGAATTTTTTCTAGGAATCTGACTTATTTAAAAAATTAGGTTTGTTACGTTTACAGACTATTTAATTTACATAAATTTCCTTTGCTAGATTCAAATATAATAAAAATAGTGAAAACAAATTCAGATATTAGAAATGAATAATGGAAGGTTAGTCATTCTTTTTTTCCCTGAAATGATTTAGTGTGAAAAGAAATTCATACCTACATTAAAAATAAGTAATGGAGAGTTATTCATTCAACCTTTTTCCTAAAATGATTTTGTGAAAAATATTTTATCTATAATCTTTGAATCTCGTGTTAATAACATGAAGCTAAAAGTTTCAGGTTTGGTTCATATTTGGTTATGCTTAATTTTACTGTTCTTTTCTTATTGTTTGTGCACACTAAATCATATTTGTTTATGCCCTATTTAGAAGTTCCAAGTAGTCCTGAATATCCTGGCTATTATGATGGTGATGATGAAAGGGGAATGATAAGAAGCACATTTTATCTTTAATCTTTGAATCTCGTTGAAGCTAAAAGTAATAATATGAAATAAAAAAGTAAAAAAATAAAGAAAATCTTTTTTCTATTTTCAAAGTGTATTTTAATATGTATTAGTTAATGGAGTAATTTGTTAATCAGACAATCATCGCCAATTTTGTTAACTTTAGGCTGCCACTTGGCAACTTGTGATACTTCTACCCTTACTTAATATAGAATATTTCCATTTTAAGTAAATTCATCAGTGTACTTGGGCGGATCTTTCTTTACAATACATTTTTTTGTCTTTCCTTAAATAGTGAGTACTACTTTTCCGTCTCTTTCAATTTTAGTAGAAACTCATTTTCTCTCTGGTGGAGTAACATATGGCGGATGCTTACCGGAAGGACACCAACGGTGGGCAGCAGGTAGTGGCATCGCCGGATCTTACTCCTCTCTTCGTGGAAAGTCCTTGCAGCGAATATGGTATCAAATCAACTCTCTGTCTGTTTAAAATCTTATCGAGAAAGAAGAGGCAATTTAAGATTTCAGCATATTTTTTGCTCAGTAGGGTGGATCTGTAGAAATTAGGGTTTATTCATTTATTTTTTAGTTAAGAATTTAATTTTTATGACTCGTAGAAACTAGGGTTTATTCGTATACTTTTTCACTCAGAAACTTAATTGTTATGACTTGTAGATACTAGGGTTTATTCAATCAATCAAAAATTTAATTTTATGGCTTGTCGAAAATAGAGTTTATTCATTTACTTTTTCAATTAAAAACTTAATTTTTATGCATTTTTGTTGTGGTTGGTGTAATATAGTTATGATAGGAATTGAGAATACTCATCAAGAATGTCTTGTATACTCATCAAGAAAGTCTTTGGTATTACAGAAGTAAGTGGAGGAAATAAGAAAATGTTGTAGTATATGTTTGTAGTCCCCGTGAATAGGGCAATGTGATTTTTTTTTGGCTTTATATTAGAGCTATTTTTGTAGTTTTTATACATTAGATGAACTTTTTTGGTGTAACGGCTTATTTAGTAGTGGTGAATCTATAATATCCCATTGAGGTTGACAGTCAGTGTAAAACTAGCTAAAAAGAGGAGAGAATTCCATCACATTGTCACCTGGATGTTAGCAAGGGTTCCTGCATCATAAACAATTGACATCGGCCCCCGATCGATGTGCTGCAAGATAGCTAGGAAATGATTTTGACCATCATGGACAGATGATGATAAAAGGCGATAGTCCAAAGTGAAGCACACTTTTTAAAGAAAGACGAACTAGCACACATTTTAAAGAAAGACTAAAATAGACCTTCCACAATGACGATATATATATAAGCAAATGTTCAATTTAAATGCTAACGTATGCATCACAAAATTCTTCACAATATAAGAAAAATCAATATTAAAATATATACTTTAACAATTCTTCCTTGACAAGTAGCTATTTTTCCTTCCTGATAATACATAGCTCTCTCATTCTAATACTTCAGTTTTATTACTTGCTGCATAGTTCTCTAGTACAAGATGAAAAATTATGTTACAACCAAGGGTGGAACTAGGGGGTTGCCAGGGTTTTCACTTGAATCCTCACGACAAAAAATTGCACTAATATGTTTAAGGTATTTTTTAATAGATATATATAGATTTTGAATCACCTAAACACAAGATTGAAGGTTGACTCATGATTTAGGGGTTTAAAATTTATCTTGAGATTTTAAGTTCAAATTTCATGCACTGAATTTTTTATTTTCTAACCACTTTAGTGAAAATTCTACATCCGCCACTAATTACAACTCATGTATTTTCATGAGAATGATACTTGAAGTAGGTTAACAAGTTTAATTTATTGCACTAAATTTCAAGTAAAATAATTCAGTTATTATATAATATGATTTTTAGTATATAATTTATGTCAAACTATTATCTTCACTTATGAGTACAACTCAAGTTTAACAAAGTTAATTATCTATCTAAGTTATATAACAAAAATCTATATTATTTTATGCAGCATTACAGTAATTATGGAAAAAGTAATTAAAAATAATGTATAAAAAAAAATACAAAAGAAAGAGATAAGTCTAAATCATGAAAAGTACTAAATATGATTACTAAGTTCACAATCATATATATATATATATATATGTATAGAAATATTTAGGAATTCTTTTAATACATATACAAAACCTTTTCCAAAAATGTTGTCCAATGATTCACCCAGTTTTTACTTGGGTAATTAACTTATTGTCTTTTCTAAAATATCAGCTTGTCATGGTTCTTTTAATAAGCTTTTTGTCCAATTTTAGTAAGAAAAGTAGATATATAAAATAAGGATAAGAAGTTTTATAATCTAACAAATATTGTGGCATTTTAGTACATTCAAAATATTTTTAACTTGACATCAAAAGATTTCAGGTTTGGTTCATATTTGGTTATGCTTAATTTTACTGTTCTTTTCTTATTGTTTGTGCACACTAAATCATATTTGTTTATGCCCTATTTAGAAGTTCCAAGTAGTCCTGAATATCCTGGCTATTATGATGGTGATGATGAAAGGGGAATGATGAGAAGCACAGCTTCTATTGAAGCATCCTATGAGCACTACCTTCGTACTGGGGTACTTAATTTTTATTTCCTTTTGAGGTTGGTTCCGTAATACTGTATAGGTCTAATATAGTGGTAAAATTTCCAGCAAATTTTGTCCCATGAGTCCATGCATAGTGGAATTATGGGCATTGAGGATGTTGGAATGGTAGGTGGCAGACCAGAAGAAGCTACCCTTCCTCCAAATGCTAACTGTACATTGTATGTAGAGGGTTTGCCTGCGGACTGTACAAGAAGAGAGGTGGCACGTATCCTTTTCTTGTGTGGAAATTAGCTTATTGTTTTATGGCCCATTCTAGTTTTTCCCTTTACTTCAGTTTTTGCAGATATATTCCGCCATTTTGGAGGTTACAAAGAAGTTAGGCTCGTACCAAAACCTTCAATACATGTAAGAATACGTTTCACATCATCTACTTAATTCTGTGTAGTGTTATTTTGGATTCACTGCTGTATCAACTTAATTAATTATGCAGGCTGGAGCCAATACATTGATTCTTTGCTTTGTTGATTTTGTGAGTCCGCTTCATGCAGCTGCTGCAATGGATACCTTACAAGGTGAGCTTGACACTCTCTTCTTTTTTGCTAGAATTTGACTCGTCATTTCATGATCAATTGGTTGCATGCTCAACCTTTTCTGCTTGAAAGAAAATTGTCGGACAATATCACATGTTGCCGCTGGTGTGCGTACGTACATCTATGAAAGAGAAATTTGTACTAAAACTAAATCTTGCAGGTTATCAATTCGACCTTGATGAGCATGATTCAGGCAACTTAATGCTGGAATTTGCTCGCAATCCTGGTGCGAGGTCAGGTGGAGGGAATCGTGGAAAATGTTGAAACTATGTGTATTTACAGGTACAATCCTTTGGTACGCTTTACCCTTTTATTATTGATGACCATAACATATGGTACAAAGTTACTAAAAATTGTGGAACTATACTTGTGTGTAGGACTTGCCATGTTTGGAGAGCGACGTTATGCTGTGAGCGTGTTTCTCTGATCATGTACCTGTAATATTAACTGTAGTTGCTGCTTAGCAGTTTGAAAAGTTGCTTGGCTGATCATGCCATGAATTGTTTGAATTTCTTTTTAAATTCGCTACAACTTATGATGAAGTAGACATTATCATCTTGTGCTCTGTTGATGAAAAAATTGGGAGGCTTTTAGTATCTGATTGCTGTCATTTAGATCTGGAAACTTTTTAATGTTAATCCTTGCTAGAAAATGTATGTGCTTTAACACCCATGGTTCATTTCTTGATGGTTTTGGACTTTTGGTTACCTTCTCCAAATAATGCATTCTTGGTTGGTGCTGGAAAAACGTGGCGACTTTTACCCAGGGATAGCTCTTATCTTACCAATGCTAACAAGGATTGCCATTCCATTAAAAGCAATGGATTGCTGTAAAGGCTGGAGTCCGAAGCTCACCATGAATGAAATCCTTGAGAAAAAAAAGAAGAAAATACGAAGTCCAAACTAGTACTACTATCTATTTTTTCGCAACCTAATTCTGTAAATCTAAATTTAAAAATTTAGGATTGGATAGAGTAATTAGAAATACAGCCGAAAGCAATGGGTTCAGTTGAATCTGCAGAAACAAGCTAAAATTCCCCTCTTAACTCTCTTGTCGATCGATGGATATCCTTCCGACTGAGTTGAACAAAATAGCTAACTAACATAAAACTTATGTCTGATTTCTGATTGAAGATTTTGGCCTACCTGCAGAGAGCTGTGCTATTGGGATGAATTTTTCTCTCTCTCTTTTCGTGTTGTTTATTAATTTCGTCAATAGTTATTCAAAGCACAGTAGTAGTTACTTATGCCTACAGCCTACCTACAGAGAGCACGTCTTTTTGAACTACTACAAAACTAGTGTAATTAAATGTTTTTTTCTTTTAATAATTGTGGATATAAAAATCTATATCGTAGTTGATATAAAAATAGCGTGCAAAAGAATTTTTTTTGCTAGAAATCTGACTTATTTAAAAATTACATTTGTTACGTTTACGAATTATTCTTTTGCATAAATGTCCTTTAACAGAGATCTAAATATAACAAAAATAGTAACAAAAAATCCATACATCGTAAATGAACAATGTAGAATTATCCATTGAAACTTTTTCCTAAAATGATTTTGTGGACAATATCATATCCTTAATTTTTGAATCTCGTACTAATAGCATGATACTAAAAGTAATAATATGAAATAAGAAAATAGACAATAAATAAATAAAAACTTTCTTCTATCTTCAAAGTGTATTCAAATTGTGTTAACATAAAACTAAAAGTAACAATATGAAATAAGAAATAGACAAAAAAAAATAAAGAAGAAATTTCCTCTATCTTCAAGATGTATTCAAATGTGTACAATTAATTAATAATTTGTTAATTAGTCAATTATCGTCAAGTGTGCTAATTTTAGGCTGCCACTTGGGAACTTCTCATGCTTTTGGCATGCTTTAATATATAAGATTTTCATTTTTAGTAAATTCCTCACTTTACTTTCGCGGATCTTTCTTTTCAATTCATTTTCTTGTCTCTTCTTAAATTCATCGGATTTACTAAAACTTTCCCTTCTCTCCTTCGATTTTAGTAAAAATTGACTAGTTTATTCTCTCTCAGTGGAGTAATATAACGGATGCTTACCGGAGGTATAGCAACAAGGGGCGCCGGCAGCTCTTATTCATTTTGTCGCAAAATATCCTCAGAGCGAATATGATACGTATCTAAATCAAATCTCTTTGTGTTTAAATAGTTCAAGATTTCGGCATATTTTTTGCTCAGTTGGATGAGTTTATAGAATCTAGGGTTTATTCATTTACTTTTACAATCAAAAACATAATTTTCATAGCTTGTAGAAACTAGGGTTCATTCATTTACTTTTTCAATCAAAAACTTGATTTTTATGGCTTGTAAAAACTAGGGTTTATTCATTTACTTTTTCAGTCAAAAACTAAATTTTAATTTTTTGGCTTGTAGAAACTAGTGTTATTCATTTACTTAATTAGTCAAAAACTTAATTTTTATGGTTTTTTGGTTGTGGTTGGTGTGATATAGTTATGGTAGTCATTGGGAGAACACTCACGAGAGTGTCTACAGAAGTAAGTGGATGAAATTAAAAAAAAAGTTGTAGTATATGTTTGTAGCCCCTCTAAATAGGGCAATGTGATTTTTTTTGGCTTAATACTAGAGCAGTTTTTGTGGTGTTTATACATTAGATGACCATTTTTTGTGTATGGGCTTATTTAGTAGTGGTGAACCTATAATATTCCATTGAGGTTGTCAATTAGTGTAAAACTAGTTTATTAAAAAGGGATAGGATTCCATCACATTGCACCTGGACGTGAGCAAGGGTTCCTGCGTCATGAACAATTGACACCTTCGATGTGTGTGCAAGATAGTAAATGATTTCGACCATCATCGACAGATGATGATAAAAGACGATATTTCAAGAGAGTTTGGATTTGGAATAGGTAGTTTGAACTAGTGTTCAAGGGAGCATGAAGCGGTAAAAAGCAACAAGGCCATGCGTCATTGTAAGACTTTGAAAGAGCTAAATAGATATTTGTGTAAGTCGCTCATAAGTTTTTAGTTTTGGGTCAACTTCAAACGATCATATCTTTTAAAACATAAAGAATCAGGTGGTCCATGAGCTATCAAATTGAAGTTCTTTGAGTCCTCTTTCCAACGCCACCAAGTTTGTTGAATTTCCTGCTCCGAGTAAAAAGTTATGGCTATTTGAGTGAATCCTCTCCATTTAAGGAATTTCATCCATTTTAGGAAAAGGTATTTTGATCTTTTACCTTTTCCCACTTATCTTAGCACATTTTTACTGACCCAATTAAGGGTTTAATTAGATTCTAAATCACCATTTCACATTCTTAAACACTTACGGATTTAGAGCAAGGTTTTAGGAGAAGAAAAGGGGCTAAGTTCAAGCGTTCTTCAAGATTCGTGGAATTCGCCAAGAACATCGTTCTTTCCAGGTATGCATGTGAGGTTTCCCACAATGATGGACTCGTTCGTCCTCATGCCTATCATCTACAATTCGTCCATGAAATCGTTATATTAAGAGATTCTTGATTGGTTCTTGATTGTTGTTTCATTCTTTAACAATGGAAGTTCTTGAGTTTCTTGGGCTGAGGATCTCGAGTATGAGTTGTGATTTTGATAGAGATTGTATGAGATTTCGATGAATTCGTGTTGGACTTGTGAATCAAAAAGAGTTTAGAAGAAATCACTCGATTCTAGATGAGTTAGGTATTTAAATTGTTATGTTATGTATTGTATTTTTAAATTAAAATTTTCATATTGTATCCAATTATTGTGTGTCTTTTCCTATGAGAAAAAACATAAAGTCACCACTGAAGTTGTCCCTCATTTTCAAAAAGACACCTTAACTTTGCAAGCGTCCTGTTATCCCACAAAAGTTTTGAATATCTTAGTAAAAGAGCCATTTTGACCCATTCCCTCACATGGTTAGTGAACACACAACACGAGTGTGAAGTAGTATTTTTGCTCTGAATAACCAATTAAAAACTGCAACATTTCACTTTTTTTCTTTATTTATTAATTACTAACTTCTTTTACATCATATTCCCCAAAACAAAGATCATAAGAGCCATTAGTACTCCCTATTGACAATTTCATCATCTTCCCAAAACAAGGTCAACGTTGGTACTTTCTCTGACAAATTCATCATCTTCTCGAAGAGCAATAAGGTAGGAATTCATTTTCTCTTTTAATTTCTAGTCGAGAAGGTTAATTTAATATTTTTCAAGGTTTAATTTGAAGTTTTTCAAGAAGAGAACAAAATCGTAACAGTAGCAATTAGTCAATAACACAACGAAACACACTGAAATCCTAACAATAATAACTATAATAAGTCGATTTTAACACTTTTTACACTATAATAATCCCTAAAACAACAGCAATATGATCTTTATCAACTAATGTAAGAAAACCTTCACCTGTTAACCTTCAATTCCTCGTTCCTTCAAGAATCGTGACCAAGAAACGTAAAAAAGGAAGCAGATGATCACCACACTATTGTTTGGCCAAAAACACGAAGAGACATGGAAAGTTGAGACAAAAGAAAAAAAGTTTTCTCTTATTGAAACGAATGAGGTCGATCTAGACTATGGTAACTCGTGATCATCACGCGTGTCTAACCACATGAGGGAATGGGTCAAAATGACCCTTTTACAAAGATTTGCAAAAAAATTGTGGGGTGATAGGACACTTGCAAAGTTAAGGTGTCTTTTTGAAAATTTGGGACAACTACAATGGTGACTTTATGTCTTTTCTCTTTTACTATTCCATTTTGAACTATCGCATCAAGTATTTTCATTGCCC